AATATATTAAACTTGAACAATTAGTCACAAATTTATTATTTTTGAAATTTAATTTGATATCATAATTATATGAATAAAATTTGATTAGACTGAGTCAAACTAAAAAAAAAATGAGTCAAGATGTATTTGATAGTCCAACATTAGGTCAAGCTAGAGTTTGACTACTCTAAAATGAGTCGTATGACTCTTCATGGCATTGGAAAAGATATAGTTGAACTTTGAACAGTTAAAAGATGAGGAAAACATAACGATCTATATATAAATAAAAAAATATTGAAAATATTCATGTGTGAAATAAAGAGGGATAGATTAAGAGGATAAGTTCTATATGACTGTGGAATAAAAGAATCAAATTATATATGTAAGATTTGACTCTTTTGGTTGAATTAGTGATACGTATGTTACCCTCGGCAGTTTAATTGGAAATCCAACACATTTATCATCTCAAACTCTTTTTTCTAACCCATTGAAAGATCGTAAACCATATATAATTAATTATGTTTTAATCTGACTTAATAGGATTCTTAATCATTTGGTTTTGTATTTCAATAATTTCTTTGGCATAGTGAATGCCTTCTTTAACTATTCGGTACAGTCAAACATGAAGAAAGGAGTTGTGGCATCAAATGAGACATCAAATCAAAGCCTATAGTGGAGTGGAGACTATTCTTGAATGGCCTTTGTTGCTACTTCATCATCACAACTTATATTTTCCATTGAATGCTTAAATATGTAATAGCAAGTCAAATTTACTATATAATTCATTTTGATTCATTTATGAGATGATTCTTCACCACAATATTGTGCTCAAATGCTGTTGAGGCATTTAAGAGTAGGAGGTGATGTGTTGTCGGGTTATCCGTGTATCAATTTTTTATCATCAACCATCATCGTGTCGTAATGGAAGAATACTTCAAGATCAAGATGACCACATCATCATCAAATGATGATTTATGGTCTATTCGACTATGTCATTTATAAATATATATTTTATGATTGGATTCGATGCATCATTGTGGATGAATATTTCATGATTTATTTGATTGTATTATTATAAATGAACACTTTATAAATGGATTCGATCACACCATCAAAGAGGAACACTTTAGAAAGGTGCTGCTTTATGGTTGGGATGACAACATCATAGTCGAAGGATGCTTCATGGCCAGGATGATCGTGTCATCTTCAAAGAACCCTTACGGTCAATTTAGCTACATCGTCATAGATATATGTCATCTCTTACTCGAATGCTCTGTTAGGTGACAAGTAGGACTAGTGACAATTGTGACCAGTCCGATGACACCAATAACAAGTAATGTCCGATAATCTCATGAAACCATTCTTACATGTAACCTTCCATTTAATTTGGACGGTTATCAATGGACACTAAGTTTATAAAATACTCGATTTCAAACCAAAATTGATCTCAAATTCTCGGACATCTTAGACAATCAAATTCTGCTTAATATCTATCTACCCATTTCCAAATTGCTATTCCTATTATTATTTGATCCTTGCTTTCGTTCGATCTACCCATTTTCGGATTACTATTCCTTTTATCATTTGATCCTTGCTTTTGTTCGATCGAATTAAGCTTGATGCAATAGAACCCATCGAGTCCGAGCCAAACACGAGATCGAGTGAGAGCAATTCACAATCCTTGGGAATGAACTTAGGAATGCTTAGATCTCAAATAACAAGTCTTTTATATGATATAATTAATATTGATTGATCTACAATGTTACCTTCCATCATCACCACAATGTTGATTAAACACCAAAATCAAAATATAATATATAGCTTATCGCACATTACTTTGGGCAGAAAAATCTATCTTCCCCTCGCGAGATCCAAAGCGTTGACGGATTCTTCCTTGTCGTCTTCCAAAACACAAAGGACTTAAAAAAGACGAGACACTTTCCATCTATTTCTGTAGTTATTTGGCAACCTTCGACGATCGTCTATATGCCCCACAATTCTTTGGTGGCTTGTGATGTCCATCCGCCACGAACGGAACAACAATGAAGGAAGTAGGATTCTAAAGAAGACAAAGATGACACACAATAAAGTGAGAACTCGATTCATCTCCTTTGGTAGTATCTCAAAATGACTCCGATAAAGTGGAATCCCATCTTGTCTAATTGTCTATATTTATCTAATCACCAAAGGTTGAGCTTTAATACCGTATGAGAGAGAGAGAGAGAGAGAGAGAGGAATGCAACATTTTTGTCGGGATTGTAGAGCTTGACGTCGGATTTGGCTCGTAAAGGGAATAATATCTCTCTCAGGCGACACCAACCTCGACAAATGGAGATTGATAAAATAAAATATAATATCAAAGCACACTTTAATTAGTTAAATATAATATATATTTGTACATATTAGAAAGAAAAAAATTTCTTAACTGATCAGTGCGATTCTCGTACAGTTGGAGATTAATAAAATAAAATATAACAGTAAAATACATTTTAATTAGTTAAATATAATATGTATTTATACATATTAGAAGAAAAGTTTTTCCTTGTATGAACGATATTTTTTAGTCTAGTTAAAAAAATCTTATGATATCTTGGAATCTAGACGAACTCACCATTAATACTTCTCATGTTGAACCTTATTAATACTTAGGCTTAAATTTTAATCCTTTTGTAACTCTAACATATGTCTTCATTATCAAGAATATAAAATTTTGAATATTCTTTTAAATAAAATTACACTGATAAAAAGTGTAACATGGTGTCAGAGCAAACAAAAAGTTCGAAAAGATGCATCTCACATCAATCTAAATATTAAGTCGAGGATAAGCATTAAGAATGTAGATTATATCATGTCATATTTATTGACTCAGGCTTTAGGCATTAAATCTACTTAAAGAATGTAGATTATAGCTTGCCAAATGTATAATTTTTATTATTTATTAGAAAAAATATCATGCATTGATCAGTCCGATATGATCCAAACTCGTGTATGCAAGAATATCCAAGATGTTTTTGATGAAAAAGTATCGTTCTTTTGAGATGACTCTAAGGTAGCTTTAAGATGGGTCCAAAATGGATTCAAGATGACTCTAAGAAGAGTCAGAAGTGGATTCAAGGAAATCCAAAGTAGTTTTAAAATGTAAGTATTATACTCAGCTGTCACTTGTGCAAAGACTAAAGTCGGATGATATTTTTCGATTTGGTTTCTTCGACGCTCAAATTAATAAATTAAGGTTTTCAAATGTTGGTTAGAATAGTTTTTCTCTCACAGTTGTCTTTTTTCTTATTTAGAATATATTTTTATATATTTAAAGGAGGAGAGAAAAGTTTATAATTGTCTTCTCTTTTTATAAAAAAAAAAGGAGAAAAAAGGATTTAGGATTACCCTTTTTTAATCATAATATTTACTGAAACGCCTGATGCTAAAATTATATTTCTTTTGGCGTCAATTTACTACGACATATAACTCTTTGATGGTATATTATTTTGTTGATACATATTGTCTTTTCCTTCAATGTGTTATACCAAATAGATTTTACGTATAAGGGTGTTTGTTGCATTATGCGTGAGATGTAACGATATATGTAGATATATCATAGATATACATACTTGGTTGCTTATAATTTCTTGTCGATTAAATAGTAGAACTAGTTTGATGAAATGATTTCTTAAATAGATTCGATTTATGTTTAGTCAGATTAACATTATGAACGTATCTTTTCTTTTCTTTTTTTTGCTTAGGTTATATGATGTTTATTATCTATAGCGAGCATAATGATACTTGAAATTATTTTCATGATGATTCATTGTTTTAATTAACCAATGCTCATTTTGCAATCGTTGTTCGTGTTATAAAGTGTTTGCATCTCACGCAATAGGTTTTCGTGGTTATGAGAAAACCTCTTAATTGAATATTTTAATTAATATTTTTCAAGTGGTCAACATTTTTAGGAGCTTGAAAATTATGAGTTTTCAAATTTAGTGAAAGTGAAAATGTTAATTGATCACATTTTATTAGAAAAAATATTTTACTTTCATAATAATGATAAAATATGTTAAGTTGGATTGGATTACGATGATCTAATACTTGAATATGGTTCGGAGCTAACAAAAGCTTATTTTTAAAACTGTCTCAAAATAAGGTATGATAGGTTAAGATATTTAGCTCAAACCTTGTGACAATGGTGTTCTAGGTCATTATCACTTCCTCATTCGTGTGGGCATTACTGACAATTTTGAATTTGTCTTACTTTCGTGAGACTTCGGTCTTCCGTAACAACTCAAGTTATGTCTATGCCCTCACAATCTATATTGTTATGACCCTCGACGTTGTCTACCTTCGTGGCTCTCTTGCTAATATACTATTTGTTCTCCACTACTCAACTTGCCTGACATCCATAGCCTTTCACTTTCTCACCACCTGACTCATCTTTTTCATCGTGTCGTAACCTCTTCCTTCCCCTCCCTCCCTTTCAACATCTTTTGCTTCAACTTTCCATCATCCACAACCCCATCTCCTTTATCTGTCATGCCCTTGACCAGCTCCTAAACTGAACCAGCATCTATCTCGCCATCATTCGCAAAAGTTATGACAGATACGTTGTTTTACTTGTTATAGAAGGCCAAGGCGGAGATGTAGTTATGCCCATTGCGTTGGAAAATGTTGGGATCTCATGAAAGTGGGATAATTCTAAAACGACCGATAACATTTATCTAAGGAGAAATGGTAACAACCAAGAATGATACCGTAGTGACGAAGGAACATAGGCATGAGTGATACTAAGGAGTGATTACAATATTAAAAAAAATTAAGGATACCTAATTTAAAAAAAAACCTAAAAATGGGGAGCATTAATCTCTGAAAACCTAAAAAATTACAGATTTTTTTCACAAAAATCGCCCTTCAAAGAAAGTATAAGATTACAATTATATCAAGAAATTGAGGCATACCAAAGCGTGCTTATATATAGCTTGCCAGCTTTTCGTTGAAGAAACAACCCCAGGGGCAATTGCGTCATTTCATGGGCCCCCATTCCCCATATTTCGAACGTACCATGTCTCTAGGACACGGCCGTTGATCGATCGGGAACCCGCGCCAATGGTTCCCTCCTCTCTCCCACCCACCAAAGCCCTCTTCTTTCCGTGACTTTGATTGCCTCCTCCGTGTTCTCGAGCTCGATTTCAGTGGAAATTGGAGCCGGGGTGGGGTTCGTGGTGTCGTCGATGGGCGCCGGGGCGTCTAGCGTCATGGGGCGGGAGGGAGAGGCGGAGGACCACGAGACGGGGCTCGGGAACCTGCCGGAAAGCTGCGTCGCCGCGGTGCTGCTCCACCTCGACCCGCCGGAGATCTGCCGCGCGGCGCGGCTCAGCCGGACGTTCCGTGGCGCGGCGTCGGCGGACTTCGTGTGGGAGGCTAAGCTGCCCGAGAACTACATGTATCTGGTGGAGCTGGCTTCCGGGGGGAAGAGCCCCAGCGAAAAGGATCTCCTGTGCTTGAAGGAGGTCTATGCGTGGTTGTGCCGGCCGAATCCCTTCGATGGAGGTAACAAGGTAAGCTTTTTTTCCTCTTTAATTTGTTTAAGGTGGTTTTGTGCAATCGATTCCGTCGTTTGAACGAAATGGACGCAGTTTTTCTAATCGTAATGCTGGATATGTGGAAATTGACCATTTACTTGTGCTTAAATTTTGGTTCTCTTGCTGTAATCTTCAGGAATTCTGGCTCGACAAGAGCTGGGGTGGGTTTTGCATGTCGATTTCCTCAAAGGCGTTGCTGATTACTGGGATTGATGATCGGAGATATTGGAATTATATCCCCACTGAGGAATCCAGGTATCACCTGAATTTTGGTGACATGACTGCTATTTGATTCGATTATTCTGTTCCATTTTTGTGTATCCATTAATACGCTTTTTGGTGTCTGATTTCTTGATATGATAAGCTTTTATTCTTTTTTTTTTTGCCAAACTATCATTTGGAGGTGGATAATATTTGTGTCTTTCATTTGATCATCCCAACCACTGTATCCAACGTATAATCTATAGCTTAATATCTCTCCAGATACAATCGGTCAAATTTGCTTAGTTTTTCCAAAAGCATAAAAGTACATGCGAACAACCACTTAGACTCTCATCATTTGTTTATTCTCTTTGGACTATTCGATTGTTTCAAGTCTTTAAACAACAGGATTGAAACTCAAGGGTTGGAAACAACCTTTTGGCTTGCGAAAGGCTGAGCCTCTTGTGCTGGGCTATGTTTCTTTTTTGACTCCTTAAACATTAATTATTCATTGCTTTTCCTTACATGACTTTTAATCTGCCTTTTTCTTGACATTTGCATTGTTGTGTTACAGATTGGTCTGCCTTCTGTATTATAGTACATGCGATTCAAAACGAAATGAAACGAAGGAAAATAACAATTGCTCATAGTGAAACTTTTATATGCATCATTGGTTTTTGACCTGTGGTTAGCTTTCCAGGTAATAAGATCCAACAAGGTTTGGTGTGAATTGAGGACCCAGTTGGTACCATGTTGAGATGCCTTTTGAGTCACTAAGTTGTGGTAATTGCAATAGAATTACAATTACACATATTACCAAAGGACTGTTGATTAAATTTTAATTCATTAAATTGGTTATGATGAATTAATCTGAACCTTTTTTTTTTTGGACATAGGCTTTAACTGTGTTGAACTTCCTAGCTTCATGCTATATTTATGGCTTCTAATTTGTTATGTATAGATTCGAAGTAAGTTCTGTGGTTGCTTATCTAGTGAGCCAAGCTGATTTATGCGTCATTGCAGCTCTTATTTCCTTCTTCCTCTTGTACTCCTCCCTCTTTCCTTTTATACTGCTGCTTAGCATTTGCATTCTCAACCTTAAAGAACTATGTGGTGACTACTACATCATGCTGACCTACAGTTGAATCTAAGTCAGTAACTAATCTTGAAAAGCAGTAGTTTCCTTGAGATGTCATTAGTTAATAGCATATTATTATCAGCTTCTAGATTATACGAACTTGGTAGTATTGTGGCATGTAGATTAGTTGTGTTCCATGGTGTTGCTAATGCATCTACATGACTTTAATTATTGTGTTCAGAGTGCCCACTTGCTTCTTTGAAAATTGTAATTATCACTATTAGCAGAAAGATTTTTTGTATGACTTTTTTTCGGTAGGATTGCACAAAACTTGTGTTGCCTGAATATTTCTATGGGCCTGCTTATTGGATAAATCATTTTTTATTATTAACTTAATAATTGTCAAAAGCAGAAAAAATCTTGTACTGAATGTTTTTTGTGGACGTTTGTGGGCTTGTTTGGCTTAGTCAAGGTCCCTTTGTGTTTTCTTTGAACATGTAGTGCTTTTATATTGACTTTATGCGCTAGTGATACATCAAGTGGCTTTTACTCGATTAGCATAATGTGATGAATTGACCAAGCGGGTGTTGATATAGGTTGACACAAAATTTGAAACATGAATTTAATTCATTAAACACTGTTTTGAACTGTTGTGGTTTCAATTCTGGGAACTTGTTTTTGATGTTTTTGTGAACATAGTACTCTGAAGAAATAAAGAAGCAACTTAACCTTAATGTTCTTCTCCTTGCAGATTTTACACGGTTGCATATCTTCAACACACTTGGTGGTTTGAGGTGGATGGGGAAATTGATTTCTACTTTCCTGCTGGTACTTACAGCCTGTTCTTCAGGCTTCATCTAGGTCGAGCCTCCAAGCGACTTGGTCGTCGGATATGTAGTTCCGAACACATCCACGGATGGGATATAAAACCAGTGCAGTTTCAGCTGTCAACATCAGATGGTCAGAACACTATATCTCATTGTTTTCTAGATGAGCCTGGGAGATGGATCCTCTACCATGCAGGAGATTTTGTTGTTGATAACTCCAATATCTCAACAAAGATCCAATTCTCGTTGACACAAATCGACTGCACGCATACAAAAGGTGGCGTCTGTGTTGACTCTGTGTTGATATATCCCAAAGGATTCATACTGAAAAGGTCTCTTCTTCCAACTTGTAAATCTGTGCAGTTAGTGTCTGAATAACAGCCTCAGCTTAGAAACAGTAGAAGATAGGAACTTTGCTCTGTTAGTTTCTGAAACGACAGCCTCAGAGTAGCACAATAGAAGAAGGGAAGTTTGCTCTGTTCCCTGGTCATATATGGTCCAAGTCAGTGTACATAAATCTCCTTTAACATTTTGAGTGGGAGATGTAAGTGCCCTTTATCATTATGAGTGAAACATGGGGAATTTTGTGATATCTATCTTGAGGACTGCCTCAAGTTCTAAAGATGGACATTTGAGTTGACTGTGGACAACTAAGTTTCACCTATAACAGATAAGGACTAGAATCAAGTTCTGAAACATGGTTTTTTGGTGCCAACACTATGTTCGTGTTCTCTTGTCAACGTGTGCTTGTTCTATTTGTTTGGTGTAATCTCTTCTGATCACAATATTACAAAAGAGATACACATTGATGGAATATCAATCATCATTCTGTGCTTGTTCTATTTATTTGGTGTATCCCGGGTCACAATCTTACAAAAGGGATGCAGTCAAATATTGCCTGATCCCAAATGTACCCATAATTCCATGTCTCAGTCTATCTGGAAAGATTATAATTGTACGATTTGATAGCTTCCATGGGTTAGCCACACCATGATGCAAAGAAGAATAATGTGGCTCTCAAACCTTATATGACAATGAAGGTATTGGCAATTCCATGGGCTTTCCTGGTGTAAGTTTACTGGATCACTAGGAGGAGCCTATACAGGCCCAAGGGACAAGGAAAATTTTCCTCATCAAATCGAGTTCGCATATATTTTCATTATATTAAATAGACTCGAAGTTGAGATCTATCAATTAAACAACAATATCTTAATCCGGACATTTTAAAAGACACATCAACTAAAGCATTTTGGTGGATGGAAGCAATAAGTTAATGTTTAAGATGAAGAAAAATAAATAAATAATAAAAACTAATATCTCGCTATATATATATATATATAACACATGTGAATGGTAGTCATAACTATAATTGTTCTAAGGTAGTAAAATTCACTAGTGAGTAATTTTTGACCCGTACGAAAGGCGTAATGATCTAACTATTATCTTAGAGAAAAACTTTATGAAAAATATATATATATATATATATATATATATATATATATATATATATATATATATATATATATATATATATATATATATATATATATAT